TACCACAGGGGAGGTGAGTGGGAGGATGGGTTAGATAGGTGGTGGGGATCAAGGAGTGCACTTGTTTGATGAGCACTGGGTGATATGTGGAATTTTTGAACCACTGTATTTTACACCTGAAATTAATGTAACACTGTATGTTAACTGGAATTAAAATTTAAAAATTTTTAAAAAGAATATAAAAGGATATTTCATCAAAGAAGAAATATAAACCATAATAGGTATTTTAAGTTTCTTTTTTTATATAAATATTTTAAGTTTCAATATCACATGTATTAAGAAAATATTGCAATTTAGTAATTGTAGCAGGATATTATAACTTATGAGAAGGTAATATACATAGTTAGTGAAGGTATGCGAAACTGAGTACACTTTTGCTTTTCTAGTGGGAACATAAACTCAGTCAATCCTGAGGTAAATTTGGCAACTTACTTCAACAAAGTTTAAATGTGCAAGATAATTGAAATGATTTATATTGGCCAGAACTTACTTAGGAGGAATTATCAGTCATGAGCAAAACAATAAATTGTATAAATATGTTGATGCAAGAGTTATTCACAGTGTAAAAATTTAGAAACATCTGAAATGGCACAAATGAATGATTGGAGTAAGTATACCAATGTAGCTTGATGAAAATGGAATGTAATATGGCTGTAAAAAGTTCTATTTGCAAATTATTTAAAGACGTTGAAAAATATTCATTAGATAAAGTGGGGAAAAAAAGTATAGAGTTTAAACCAGAATGTGCAGTATTATTCAGGTTTATTTACGTTTGTGTATGTTACATATCAAAATATTAACAGTAGGATTATAATTCTTATTTTTATATTTATGTTTTAATAATGAATAATGAGTAAGCTTACAATAATGAATATATTTTTCTTTTATAATCTGGGAAAAAAATAAAGGAGAAAACGAGTTTCTTATAGAAATTCAGATTTTGGTTTTCCACATATCACTGAATAGTCTTTCAACAGGTTCCTCTTATCGCCACCTCCTAAATGAAGGGAATCCGTTAGATTCTATCTTTATGCCTCTATTGTTATAGTGTATGTGTCCCTGAAATATCTTCTTCCGTACTCTCTGTAGCATCTTAATGAATGTCTCCTGGGTCATGATTTCATCATACCCTACCACCTGCCCTACCTGCTGCTGGTTCCCAGGACTTCAGGCTATCAATTCTTAGTGACCTTGTGAAATTTCCCATCATGATTTTCTCAAATTTGCTCCTACTTCTCATTTCTTTAATTCTCTGTTAATGCTGGTATTATTTCTTGTTATCAAAATTATCTTTTACTTTTTCTCCCCCCTTGCTTCTCACACCCACATCTTTCTATTTCTCTTTCTTACTGGGGTATATAAACACCTTTACCCCTATCAAATAAATGGTCTTTTATCATCACATGCACTCAGCCGTGCCCTTTAATCAATATATTCTACACTGTCCTCACTTTAATCTTCTTGAAATGCTGCTTTGGCAAATCAACATCTTCCTCAAGCTTTTGTCCTGTCCGTATGATGAAGTTTGCACTCATTCTATCTTATGCCTTAATTCTCATTTCTTATTATTCCAAACCATGCAATCTACTGAAACATAACTTTTCTTGACTCTATTTCCTCTTTCAAACTCCTCTCTTTTTTATCTCCAACTACTCTAAACCTCTTCATTTTTCAGAGTCCAGCTTAAATTCTTTCTCCTCTGGAGGTGATTTGACAAATACCACATGAAGCTTTTTCCTTAAGTTGATGTAGGTAGCTTATTGTAGTTGGGGAAGAATTTATATATCTGCAGAACAATATGGTTTTCTTAAGAAATTAACTTGTTTTTTTTAGCAGGATGACTTTACTATCCCCTTTGTCTTGTAAACAGCAGTTTATACATATTGTTCTGGCATAAATATTCCTAATCCTCCCGCTTAGTTTTAAAAGTTGGGACAATAAATTACATGGTTATCCTACTTATCCAGTACAAAATACATAGCAACAGTTGCTAGTGGATATATGAGCAAGTGCCTTCTAGTGAACCACACGCTTTGAGCTTAAGTACTAAAGGGAGTCATCTTAAATAAAAGAAAGCCTTTCTAAATCTTTTACTGGAAAATAATTAAACTGTAGTATTCCTTAAGCTCTGTGCATTCTGGATGACTTTTCAAAGCAGTTTTGGTATATTGAATATAGTTGTTTAGATTGGAGATGATGGAAAACATCTATTACTGGCAAACGGTAAAAACAATTATTTTCTTTTATCCCTCTTTGTGCCCCCACTCCCTGTCTTTTGATGATATGAGATTGTGCATGGCAATAAGTTTCTGAGGAAATTACTTAATACTCTTAGGTCAGGGGACCCCAGACTACTCCTAAGTTTGGTGATTTGCTAGGACTCACTGCTATGATTTATTACAGTGAAAAGATATAAAGAAAAATCAGCAGAAGTGCATAGAATGAAAACTGGAGGAAAGCAGGCACAAACTTCCAAGAGTCCTCTCCCAGCGGAGACAGAATATGCTTAATTCTCCCAGCCATAAGTTGTGACAACACATGTAAAATGTTGTCTATTAGAAGCTCACTATAGACCGAGTGCCCATAGTTTTTATAGGGGCTGGTCACATAAGTACTCTCTGCTTGTTATATCCTTAAATTCCAGACTCCCAGAAGGAAAACAGGTATTCAAAATAAATCATACTGTTGGCACGATTTAGGGACAGTGAGCTACTCTTACCTGCTAGGGTGGTAGGTACCCTCCTGAAATCCACATTTCCAGATGCCAGCAAGGACCAGCCTTGTAAACAGGCCTTTCAGCTGAGCATTCATGACTGCTGTGCTTAACTCTTTTTTCACAGCTTTGTTGACCACAAATAGCCATCTTATGCTGTAAAGGTGTCTCAACATTTTAGTTTGTTCCTATGTGCCTGTCTATACAATCAATGTCATTATTTTTTAAAGTAAAGAAAAGCTTCAGAGGTAACTTATGGCATAGAATGATATCTTTGAGATTGAAATATTCTCACATCCTTTACACCCAGTGTTGTACTGGAGCTTTCTTTTGGAGAGCTGATTTTCTTATCTCTTTCTAACTTCATTCAGTGATACTAGGTTTGTGGTTTGGAACTGGCTATTTTGGGTGTATTTACACCACAGAAACCAGCATATACTGCAAATCAGGCATTCCCGCCAGAGACCCAGTTGTTAAACATTGATTAGCATACCACCACCAATACCTCCTTACCATTCATTCTGTAAATACTGTGTTCTTCTAAACAGTGATAAGAAGAAAATATAACGATTTATATGGAATGCTGATTTTGTTGGTATATATATCCTAAACTATTTTCTGGGAGCTGAGAAGCTTCTGGTCCAAATTTTCTACCTGATTTATATGTTCTTTTGTATATTAGTTTGGAAACTTGGAATTCTCAACTTTAAAAATCTCTAATGAGTTGCTAATAATATTGGGTTATTTTTATTTATATAAATAAATTTATAGTAAATAAATAATTATTACTAAAGGTGTTTCAAATGATATTTTAATATGCTATGATGTTCAAGCCAGCAAACTTAATTTTATTTTTTAAAGCTTTTATATGTGAAATTATCATTGTAAAATGGCTCCAAAGCATTTTCTATTCCCAAATTATTGTTGGTGGATACTTAGTACTCCAGAGAGCCCATTCTTTTCTTTTCATCTGCTTTTAGTAACCTCAGCTGGCAGTGAAGAGTACACAACTGGGAAAGAAAAGTAAAATCACGATTCTCTACTATCAAGATCAGTTTTATTTATTTATTTATTTAATTTTTATTGTTATGTTAATCACCATACAGTACATCATTAGTTTTAGATGAAGTGTTCCATGATTCATTGTTTGTGCATAACACCCAGTGCTCCATGCAGAACGTGCCCTCTTTAATACCCATCACCAGGCTAACCCATCCCTCACCCCTCTCCCCTCTAAAACCCTCAGTTTTGTTTTTCAGAGTCCATCGTCCTCATGGTTCGTCTACCCCTCCGATTCCCCCCCCTTCATTCTTCCCCTCCTGCTTTTTTTTTTTTCTTAACATATATTGCATTATTTGTGTCAGAGGTACAGATCTGTGATTCAACAGTCTTGCACAATTCACAGAGCACATACCCTCCCCAATGTCTATCACCCAGCCACCCCATCGCTCCCACCCCCCGACCACTCCAGCAACATCAGTTTTAAAGGACATCAGAAGATGATAGTGGGCATGGAGGAGAGGCAACATCAAAAAAAAGGGGGGGGGTAGAATTATCTCAACAACACTTTCCCACACTTTATCAATAGAACCTTATTACAGTTATGCATAATAAATGTGCATAACATTGATAGAACATGATTCACTAGGCTAGAACCGTTGAATTTTTTTTTTTTTTTGGCTCTGCTACCAGTATTCTCTTTCTAAGACCTCACTTAATGATGAGACTCTACTGAATAGTCTCAAATGATTCTCCCTTAGTTAAAATCCAAATTCGTTACAAAGTATCCAAGATTTTTTGAAGTGTGATGCCAACCTTACTTCACCCTCCTGTCCTCTACTTTTTTACTCTGTAGCTAAACTCTGTCAGTGTCTTTCATGCCTCTTTACTTTTTCATGGGAGTGACTATTTTTTTATCTTTCACTATTTACTGCCAGTTGTTCATCTTAAGATTCAACACATACCACTACCATTTTCTTCCTGAATTTAGTTTCTTTTTCTTTGATCACATAAATTCCCGTATATATTTATATGCCTTCTTTATATTTTTTATGGTGAATGTTGTATGCTTACTCTCCCTCCCCTCTTCACACTCCATATCATATAAACTCTGGTGGGCAAGGACTGTGTTTTCCTCATCTCTGTATGTTCAAAACATAATAATAATTGCTATATTAAAACATTTTGTAGAACTTAATTTTTAATAAAGATTTTGGAGTCCGTTTTCTACATAGAACCATCAATAATTACTCTTTGCGTCATGAGTTGCCTTTTTTTTACTCTTTAGGCAGATACACAGATTGACCGAGAACATCAGAATTTTTATGAAGCATCACTAGAGTATGTCTTTAAAATTCAAGAGGTTCAAGAAAAAAAGAAGTTTGAATTTGTTGAGCCGGTAAGTTTCAGTTCCCTTACAAAATAGTAGTTACAACACATCCTATGAAAACAAAATTTGTAATGTTTTTCTGTTGAAAATTGTGATTTTTTAAAAACAAAAGGGACAGGAAGTGTAGAGGAGGGTAAAGAGGTAGAGTATAGGACACTATTAGGGCAGTGGACCTATCCTATATGACACTGTAATAGTGAATACATTTTCAAACCTACAGAATGTACAATGAAAAGGGTAAACCCTAATGTACAGTATGGAGGTTAGTTAATAATGTATCAATATTAGGTTATCATTTGTAACAAATGGTACCCCACTAATGCAAGATGTTAATAATGGGGGAAATTGTGTGTGGTGGAGGTTGGTGGATTATATATGAGAGCCCTTTATATCTTCTATTCAATTTTTATATAAACCTAAAAATGCTCTTAAAAATAGTTTATGAATGGAAAAATTAAAAAAAATTAAAAGGGTTTACATTATATATACCTAAGTAAATACAGCTCACCACTAAAGCGACCCATTTACTAAACCTTTAGGTGAAAGGAGAAGACATAAGGTTATATTTCTTCCTTTGTTCCCTTCCCCTTTCTTGCAAGGCTGGGATCTGCCTGACTCCCTATGAAGTCATTTATTTTCTTAAGTTAGTGTAAAAAGTAATGGATTCCCTAATGTAAATTGCATTACAGGAAAGAGCAGGTGGCTGGTCTTTATAAGCTTACTTCATTTTCTTAGCATTTTCTCCAAGTACTACCATAATATGTTACAGTATTGCCTGAGTAGATATCTTCATAATGCATCATCTGTGATGAATCAAAGTAAGTTCTATAAGTCAAGATAATCTTTTGTTAGTATATAATGTTCAAGTCCCATGAGATGAGAAGATAACAATAGTTAAATACATAGATAATCTAAAAGGTGATTTAATCCATATTTTTCTATGTCAGCTGTTAAAAAATCTGTTTATAATAAGAAAATACCTGTTTCTATTTTAGTGGAGATGTTGGGGAGAAGGAAAAAGAGGACACGTTTTAATATATATTTGATGAAATTCATTTATTGATGGAAACCCATCAATGATTGCCTAAGAATGGTGGGAAACAGGCAGAGCAGACTGGGAAGAGTTCTAGTCCCTGCCTGGCTCCCAGCCACTTCTGCTCACTTCTCCCTCCCGCTGAAGCAACCTGACTCTTTCCTATAAACTGGGCACTTGGCAAGTCTAACGCTTCAGCTAGACAAATTTAAGGAACTGGAGACCACAATGCAGGCTCAGGGATTTAATTTTTACTTTTTATTTGGGATAACAGTCTTAACTACAAGTTCTGTTTGCCAAACAGGTAAGCCCTTAAATTCCTTAGAATGAGTTAGTAGCCTCTTATTTAGTAGATGTTTGACGGATCTCATTAAATTTTATATGAGTTAGGGGTCTTCTGAAACTTATCTGTGGCTCATTGAGAACTAGGCAGCCTAACAACCCCCAGTCTAGGAAGATGACCAGTACTTAAAATTCCTTTCCCCTTCTCATTGACGAAGTCCTGCCTCTGAATCCTACCATGGTTTTTTGAAGCCTCTCTACTTGCTGACAAACTTCCTCCTTAGGACCTGTTTCTTGGGATTTCTGAATTTTAGCTCTTCTTGACACTAAACTTGTGGTGTATGCCCATTATATCTGATGGTATTTTTTCATACTTCTTTCTTACCTGCTCCCATTCTTTTCAGATACTATGTTCATCTGCTATGTTGTTTTTCTTCCTTGCACCTGGAATGACCCTTTCACACCTGTAATACCACCCCTCTCTCTTTCTCTCCCCTGGGGAATGACAGGTCTGGAGAGGGACATGTGGGTAGTCTATTACCCTGTTAATGCCTCTTTTATAGTGTATCCTGTCTGGGAACAGTGAACTAGACCATTCTGTCAGATGACATCATCTATATAAGGAGAAGACTGTAAAATTGTTTGCTTACAGGTGACTGATGGAATGATAAGAATTTGTAAATTCCTTTGGTAATACGTGTAGAGAGGTGGAAACTGTGCTTCAGTTGTAATGTGTTTTCTTCCTTCCCTCTACCATATCCCAAACTGGGATGGTCTGATAAATCTTCTGTAATGCATGCCTTTTTTGTGACACCACAATCAAAACTGATGTTAAATTTGTCCTTCTTCCAAAATATTTTCTTCTTCCAAAATATTTCTTCAAAATATCATCTTACTGGGATGTCTGGCCAAACCAAAATAGTGCTATCAGTTTAGTCTTGTTCTCATTTCTAGCCACACAGCTTCATCCACGGGGTTCTATTTAATTTTCTTTGCAGTAATGAGAAGAATGGGCATGGAAACAATGAAACATGGGCATGCTGCTCTTTAGGTTATGTATTTACAAATTAATTTTGAGTAATTTTTTTTAAATTTCAAAAACAAAGTTCCCAGGAGCTATAAACATAAAAATAAATTAGGAAAACTTTAATGTTTTTACCCTTTTTGTTCTACAGAAAATCTAATTCCTGTTGCATTATTGTTTCATATTGCAGAAATCTAGTAGTCTACTCTAGTTTTGGCCCATATTTATTTAACAAATAAATATTAGAGTAAAGCAAAATGCCCCAAGGATGGGATCTATCTTCTATAGATTGTAAGATACAGAGTAGAATAGAAACTATAAGTAGGGAATGATAGTTGGCACTAAATATCCTAAAGTAAGAATGTTGATATATTTGAGATAATTTTACATTGTTTCAATTAATGTCAAGATCTTACTACTTGCCTTAAAATTTCTACAGAATATTCAGGAGGTACAATAGTACACCTATCTTATCCATAGGTATATGTTCCAAGACCCCCAGTGGATGCCTGAAACCAACTTGTCTTGCCCCTATATATACTATGTTTTTTTTCTGTACATACATACATACCTATGATAAAGTTTAATTTATAAATCAGGCACAGTAAAAGATTAACAGTAATAACTAGTAATAAAATGATTATAATAATATACTCTCATAAAAGTTATCTGAATGTGGTCTCTCTCTCAGAATATCTTACTGTACTCACCCTTCTTGTGATGTGAGATGATGAAATGCCTATATGATGAGATGAAGTGAGATGAATAATGTAGGCATTGTCAGTATATTGTTATTGTTAGGCTGCTATTGACCTAATATGTCAGAAGGAAGATGATCTGCTTTCACACCGTGGTTGACTGTGGGTCACTGAACCACAGAAAGGAAAACCTTGGGTAAGAGGATATTGCTCTATTAGAAATAAATATTCCTACAGTGTCATTATTTCAAGGAAAAGCCAGTTCTAATACATAGAAGAATGGGGGACATTTGTATTTTTTTTTATAAAACTATGTAATTGTTTTTAAAAGATACAGAAAATCTGGTTTTTAAACTTAGTTCTCCATTAGATATATAGATTTAATGGCCTTTCCCCCCATTGATCATATCTTATATAGAAAGAGATAGTTAACTGATCTCTAGACCTACACTATCCAGTATGATAGCTCTTTAGGTATGGCTACCTAACCATGTATGGCTGTTGAGCACTCAAAATGATAGTCTAGATTAAGATGGGCAGTAAATGTAAAACACATACTAGATTGCAGAGTTTTAGTACAAAAAATATGTAAAATATCTCAAAACCTCTTTTATATTGCTTAAGTACTGAAATGATAATATTTTAGATAAATCGTGTTAAGTAAAATGTTAAATTTCACTTGCTTTAATTTTTTTTTATCTGGCTACTAGAAAATTTAAAATTTCACATTGGTTTGCATTTACTCACATTATGTTTCTGTCAAACAATGCTAGACTTCATCCTTTCAGATTTGCCAACAAGGTATATGAGTTCAGGTCTAGAATGGGAGGAAAAGATCAGAGAGGGAAAAACCCCATCTCCTGACTCTTGATCCGGCGACTTCTCAGAGTTGCTTGGAGCTTATGAGAATTTTGAGAGGTTGGAAGAAAAAGCTTCATGAACAGCTTACCTAAGAGAGTTGAGCCCTGTGTATTTGAAATACATTATGGTACATGAAAGTTTGTGGCTCAGAACCCAGAGAAACTTTTTTTTTTTTTTTTTTTTTTTTTTTAAAGATTTTATTTATTTATTTGAGACAGAGAGAATGAGAGAGAGAGAGAGCACATGAGAGGGGGGAGGGTCAGAGGGAGAAGCAGGCTCCCTGCCGAGCAGGGAGCCCGATGCGGGACTTGATCCCGGGACTCCAGGATCATGACCTGAGCCGAAGGCAGTCGCTTAACCAACTGAGCCACCCAGGCGCCCCCAGAGAAACTTTTTATGGCTTAACTCCCTCATGGTTCATTCAGCTGCAGTTTGTGTATCTTTTGATTACATTCTTTTGCATACTTAGCTGGAACTAATGTTTCGTGAGCAACTACTGTGTCATGTGTTTTCTCTGTGTTATCTCACATGGCCCATTTGCTTTATTATTAGGTAGTTGTTATATGTCCAGATGAGGAAGTTAAGTCACAGGAAGATGGTTAGTTGCTTGAGATCACAAACGTAAGGAGAGGGAGACCCAGGAATCCAGACCCCAAAGGTGAAGTCCTGTATAGTACCATGTACTGTCTCAGTGGCCACCTGATTATAACAATTAGTCCTTCCTTGATACTTGCTCTGACCAAATAAAATGGATGACTACAGAAAATTGTATTGTAAAGTTATTTTAATTCCTTAAAATTAGAAGAAAATATGAGGATGACCTTTATTTTGGTAAAGGTGCTTGAGTCAGTGCACCTATCTGTCCGTTTATTCATTCTTCCATCCTTTTTTTAATCATCCTTTTTAAAAAATTGTCCCCTCCCCACCCAGGCTACAGTTGACACACCCTTTTTCGTGTAGTGACAGACAAATATAATGCCTGAGAGGTAGTAAGATAGAATTTGGCTCTAGTCTTATAGCTGTGCAAATCTGGCTTGGTTTTCAAACTCTGTGTGCCTTAGGTTTTTATCTGTAAATTGGGAGTAAAAACTGTAGTTCCCAGGATTGTGCT